CGACCATCTATCTCTGCTTATAAGAATACTTAGTGTAGTGAAAAAAAAGATTGATAGTTCAAGTGGTTACTTTTGATGGTATTATGTTGCCTGAGCTTCATGGTTCAGTTGGAAAACCTACAGTAGTGTTCTGAACAGAATCTTTATTGTTTCCTTCAGACAGAAGTTGGTTTATTTTTAGCTTTATGCTAAGAAAAACCCCATTATGATGACTGTATTCGTGTTTGATTGCCCTCATAGGCGTTATTTTCTTAAAGTGCCAATTACTCCTACCGATTGTTTCGTCAAATAGAGCTCTGACCACGAAGTTGATTGACCTTGTTCTATGATTATATGTTTATTGACTGCAGTTTGACCAGAATAGCAGGCCTGTAGAAGTTTTCTGCAATTCTTGGAATTTTCCTTCTATGATATTCTGACAACCTCTCCGCTGAATTTGTGTCCGTATTTATCGCCAACTGACGGAAGTCTGCAATAAATACTGATTTCGAAACAAAACTTTCCTTAGACAGTCTGACATAAGAAGGATTAGAGAAAAAGAATAAAGTTTTGCGACATTGTGAGCAGAATTTTTGAAGAAAAACAAATACGTTGATTACACTGAATACATTTAACCTAATAATTGGATATTCTAATTTATTGTTTCAAATAATTAGTCCAAGTTAGTGTAAATATGATTTGAGCAAACTATAATAAATAGTCTAAGTGAAATGTACTTGAAGGATGAATTATAAGTTATCATATACATTTATTTATTGATGATTGTCAACACTCCTAAATGGATTTTCTTTTAAAACATTTTAGTCTACATGAATTGTATCCATTCAAAGGGTTATTTCTATGATGTATACACATACTTTTTCCTAACAACTTGTTGTGAACATAATGACAGAAAAGCGAATTTTTTATTTACTGAATTAGTTTTATGCAAATTTATAATAAAAAGACTGTAGTTAATAGAGTAGTAAAAAAGAAAAAGAAACAAGAATGCTATTCGAGGAAATTCTGTCACGCTACTATATATCAGAAAGGGATGGGATAAGATTTGTTTTTAAAAAAACGCTACAAATTGAGCTGTTTAATGTTTCAGTTGTTTTTTTGATAAAACCTTATTATAACAAATAGGTTTTGCACACACTTTAAAAACTATTTCAATATACGTATGAAGCGAGTGAATTTATTTTCTTGTAAATTACTTGTACAAGTCTTGTAGTCATGTTTAAGGTTGATTAGAACAATCCAATCAGAATAGTAAGTATTCAAGAAAATAGGTGACTCAACGAGGTATTTGTGGACACTAATTAATATTAAAAAACGGAATTATTCAGGGGTTTTTTCTTTAACCAAATTAAAGGAGAAACAGTGAGACAAGTAAAAATGCATGATGTCTAGGCAAAATCGTCTAAACCCGTTTATAATGGCACAGTAAGATATAAAGAGGTTAAAACAAACCAAACACCTTTCTATCTGAAATAATCATAACTTTATGTTTCCAGTTTTGAACTACATTATATTTTGGAGTTAATGGTGTTATCCACACCAAACAGTTCCCCCCCTCACAGCTGGCGTTTTAGAATCCTCATCTGAAATCAAAGTTAATAGTTATCACTGGGGTTTTTATGATTCAGTCTGTTGTTTTATAATCTGATGAACATGAAGATAATTCTTCTTCATGATCAAGCATCGATATTGATAATAAAAAAGCCAATTTAAAAAAAATTCAATTCAATTTCCAATTATTTTCATGATGTACTTTTTTGAAAAATTTATCTAGTATACATTATTGTTGTAGATCAGTGAAATTCAGTATGATAACTAAATAATTGTGTTTGTATCATAATAATAATAATAATAACTATTATTATTGTTATTAGTGCTTTTTATCCATTAGCCGATCAGCATAAAATACAAGTTAATTTATCTCCCTTTTCAAACAAAAAAAATATATCTCATTTTATCGTGCAAACAAATTACCGCGCCTGTGTGTGTATGATTCTTTTTACATCGGAGCATCGCTGTTAGCGCTTTCATTAAATAGGTGTTTGTCCAACTTTTTTTATTTTGAAATAAATTAATCATTCTTTTTAGCTTCATTTTACTCATAAATTGATGATCATATTTTAACATTATTATTATTGTTCGTTCAAATAATAATGTACATAGTTAAATGACTTCATTAATTTAGTACTCCAAAAATTGAGAACAGCGTTAATTCGAAATAAAACAAAAAGAACCTGAATATTCAAAAGATTTTACGAGTAAAATTATTCAAAGAACACAATTGAGACAAAATTGATTATTGCTATTATTACTGGAATGATTTTTTATAGGTAACAATAAACAAGGAAAGGAAATATCAATCACCTATATGCTTCTGGTAAGAGAGGGAGAAAAAACCAAAGTACCTGGAATTATATGAATGAAATGGATTTGTTATACTGGACTAATTTCAACATTTGAACAATAGTATATTCTAGAATCAAGACAGTGAGAGAGTTTACCAAGAGTAGGTTTGAGGGGGGGGGAACTTTTAAAGTTGTTCGGCTTTGAAGGAGACTGATAACATGAGACGGGTATAAAAGAACTTTGATAAATACTATAGAATTAGGATGATAGCTTTGTGATTTTAGAAGTGTGACATGTATCATCGATGACAAAGGATGATAGCCGTGCAATATCGTTAGTTGACTGAAGACAGAAAATGTGAACTACTGGGTGTTAAGTAGCCTGAAAATTCAGCACTCCTACAAAGACTGAAACCCCTAGGTTAGGTCACTAGATGAATTATGAGTGCACACTATTGAGAAATCCAGTACTACAGTGAAAACGTTCACTGTTTTCTGGTTTTTCCTGATTATCTGTCTAGTTCAAATCATTTCATAATGTTAATTATAAACAAAATAATACCATTCCTACATTCTTGTAAATGAGCTTTTATATGTTAATAAAATTGAAAAAAAGCCTTCATTATACCGTTTCCTTATCCATAAAGCAGTACATGTCCAGTAGGATCACAGTGATAAAAAATTGGTATTTTTCTATAAATTATAACGAAAGGGTCCTGAGAAGCAATCTTAAGAGGGAGTTTACTGCAAAAAATTCTGACTCACTGGTTAACAACTGTAGACTTATCAAATAGTCAGCTGTTTCTGGTATTACGATGATAAAGAATTTACGTATCAGTTTGTAAAAATATCAATTCAGTTACTTATTTTAAGCTATATCTGCATAGCATTCTCCTTATAAATTATAGGATCTCAAACAAATATCTCTCAAAAACATCCCGAAGTACGGCTGTTTACATACTCAAGCTATTAGATCTTTCAGCATTTCCCACTGTATTTCACTCGTAATGGCATCTTAATTTCAGGCTATTGACTAAAAACCTATAAAATATTTACTTCAGATATTCTGGTTATTACATGTAAAATCTCTGTTACACAACCTCCAGTTCTATAGAATCACTAATTTACTTATATTCATATGTATTATATGAAGCAACAGAGCTTCACACAAAATAGTTACTTTGGTTTCTTTTCTTCCTTAATAGTTGAGATATAAATGTACTGCTTTAATCTCAAATAATCAGGATATAAAGATTTCATGGAGTAAACGAATGTTAGTCAATCTACAAATTTTAAAGTAAAGCCCAAACTACTTTTAAGTAGCATAAATAATTGTCTGAAATGTGTAAGATACATAATATGCATGGCAAGCTATGGTTGAGTCAAGAAGTCTTTATCCCAGACCAGTCAATCAGTTAAACGTTTTACCACAGAAAATTTCTGTACTATTGCTGATAATTGCTCTTTAAAAAGCTAGGATGCTAAATAATACTTCTTTCTTGGGGGTTATTAATTATTGTCGATTGGTGTGTTAAACAAGCGTTACAGCTTGCCGTCTTTCCGAACTTTTGGAGTTGTATAAAAAAGGTGAGCTTCAGTTGAGAAGAGTTTAACGAATTAAGACTTCGTAAAGCGAAACGAAGATCATAATAATATAACAGAACTCTAATTATACTTAATAGACTTTGAGTAACGAGGTTTAACTAAAAATCACTTTGCGCATATAGTAAATACCGATGGAATTCCGGTTAATTAAAACGTAAGTACTTTTTCCTAGAGAAAATGTGATTAAAAAGCTACCTGTTTCGTTACAATATTTTTTGGTACATTACAATGCGTATTTATTTAATTCCACCTTGAAATATTTAAAAAGCTGTTCAAATGAAGGTTGAACAGTGTGTACATATTCTGAAGGTTTATTCCTCCTGAACTTTTACTTGGGTTGAGACGAATTATTAATGTAAGGAGATGGTCCACAATACAGCTTAGATGCTTATCCGGTTTAGCTACATGAATTATTCATTTTTTTAAATTTTGTTTCATGTGACATGGAACTATCTACTGACATTTGTCAAGTTACCAGACTTTTTAATCACATCGACTTTTCAGACAGTGGTGTAATGCTCCCCCCACCATATGGCTAACAGCTAACTTTATTTTCAATTAGTTATTTGCTAGAACAGTGTCCGAAAAGATATGTACAAAATTGGTATCAAAGATGGATTTGATAACCTTTCAACATGTCCTAGTTATTCAACCCATCAGATGCACAACTCTAAAATCCTAAAGATATGCTGACGATATATCTTCATCTATTGCATAAATAACTGCATTCAAACTGGAGCAGAGGTTTTTCGGTTTAGGCAGCTTACCTTTACAGATAGAGGATGCGCGACTGCGTGTTAGTTTCTTAGACATAATTTCAGATATGTTAGTCAAATTGGTTTCGTTCCTATGTATTTGTAGTGTTTACACTAGCAAAATAGTGTGGATAAGTACAACTATACCAGCGTTGATCTAAATCCTGAGAGGATTCAGAACACTTTCTTTGACTAGGGCTCGATGTACAAAACTGTCTACTCAAACCAGTTTGTTTATTTATTTATTTAAACACATAAATATTGGTATTTGCCGCACAAATCTCATTTGATTTGTGTGAGGGCTGTGATACTGCCCAGGTGCCCAAGTAATGTAACCAAAAACGCCCAAATGGTGAGTAATCATTGAATAATCGAGACAAAAAAACTCTCCTCGGCTTTAAACATATTAAACTGTGCCCTAAATGAGTAAACAGAGAACTTTATATTGTTATATGGATGTAAAATACACCCATAGAAATGCAGCTGCTCTCCGATCTTTTCAAAGGGATATATCCAAACCTTTACAAAAATACAAAACCAAAAGAGTCCTAATTAAAGAAGTATTTAAAGGGAAATAGAAAAAAACTAGGTTAGCAAATCCAAGACTTTACACTTTTTATTTGTGCGTGAAGCTGGTTCATCTTAAATTGAATGTACACGAATAAACACACATGAAAATGTATTTGTATCTTAAAATATAGGTTCTGCTGACAGAGAAATGTATAATACCAAATTCAGTGAACAGCATCCTCTAAAAACTAAAGTCATCAATAATTCGCCGCTTACAAAAGAAGGTTAAATGTAGAAAACAGTGCTCGGTGGATATTAGAAGCAAGATCTCAATATCGATGTAACTTAGTATGAAAATAGAGTTAGATAAAAGGAGTTCGACTTTAAAAATCAAGTGCAGCATTCGGATATCATTATTGCACAGGAATCATCCGAAGACTAACTTGAAAACAATCATCGCGATATTGACACCTATCAGTGGTACTAAGATCATTTACAGTTGTGAATAATTTGATATACCTCTCATTACAGTCCGGATAGAGTGGATAAACGTTAAAAACTGATACTTCACAGTTGTAGGGGGACTGTATTCATTATCTGTCCGGCCACAGCCAACTAGAAAAGTCACTCAAATACTGGCGTACTCACTTTTAGACAGAAATCTTTTCTCGTGTAGGATACAAATGGCATTAAGCATCAAAACTAAAGACTCAAGCAAACTGAAAAGGCCCAGAGCCATGTAAACACCAGTTACGTAAATGTGCCTTGAGATGACCTTCGACAACCAAATGACGTGCTTGTTCAGAACTTTAAACTTTTGGTGCCTATAGTCTTGATTATGAGCTAATTTAGGTCTAGAAACCATTTATAATTTAAGAATTTTAGTATTTTTTGTCAATTATGATGCTATAAACACTGTAGCTGTCTTTCTATTAAAGTGCTTCTGTGAGCTTTTCTGAGACCCAGACAGACTTTAGCAAACCAGATAAAATGTGAATGTCGATTCATTATTACAATAGTAACATTTTTGTACTCGTCATAAGAATTGTAATCCTTATTCACACGCTATTTAAAAAGCACAGTAGTATTTTTCCTGGCTGGGTTCATTTTATGGTATTGATCGTTTGTTATGCACTAAGACCACTCTAGTTGAATTTATGTCAAACAAAATAATTGTCGTTGTATTCGTTTTTCGTTCTAAAGAAACTTATCATCCGTACTCTTAGAGTACAACAACAAAAAGGATGGTGGTATTTTTCCCCGTTAGGTATATCTTTTAGTATTGTTTGCGTTCAAAGGTTTAGGGTTTTTCGTATGTATTTGGGTCGGATTTTTGATTTAATTACGGTGACAAATAAACCTCAGCTATTTATGTTCACTGTCTATCACCTTTAAAGCCCTAAAAAACACTTATTCTAGAGACCAGGTTTTTATTGTTCTCTCTGTGAGGTCACTAAATAATCTTATAGTGCAAGTAAAACATTGTTTTGTTAGACCTAAATGCTTTTCTCAGTCAAGGATGGAATGAAATGTAACAACTGAGACAAGGACTATCAAACGTATGCAACGGATTCACACGGGCTGCTTATAAAAGGTGCTGCAAGCCACCACTATCAAGGTGTACTCCGATAGCGTACCGGATAACAAACTCACAGATTCAAGCATGGTTGCCGGAAGAAAATGAAAAGCTTGCTGATAAGAAACAAATTATGGGAGCTCTAAGGTATGTTAGTCGACGGTTTCAGCTCCTGATTCACATATCAACCCAAAACAGACTACTGAGAAATAGAGTCTGAACAGTGTAGATGATGTGATCGAGAGACGCAATAAGGTCAATGATTAATTTTCAGTTACACCAAGAAAAGGAAAAGTAGGGGAATATAGTGAGACCCTCGCGTCTGACATCAGATTGAACTGCAGGAATGAGATTTTAGCAGACAGGACACCAAAGCTTGTTAAGGCGGACCTCGCTGACGGGTCAGTCGCTTCTCGTAACTTACCAGAATCCTTCAAAAGGAAGTCAACGACTAGATTTGAACACGACCGAAACTACATTAAGTCTTTGATAAGCAAGCTACTTCGAGAAGCAGTATCAAGAGTTAGCATCTATAAACTTTATAGAATAGGAATAAAATAACTCTGGAAGCACACAGAAAAGCCGCCTCTTAAAAGTTACATTTGATCCTGCTGAAGAAAGAAACCTAACATTGGAAAACTCATGCAAACCGACTGGATTCGAAATATATGTCCGTCATGATCTCAGCCGGGTAATCGTATTAGGAGACAATCTGCAGAAACCAAAATAAATAAACAACACTAGAACGATAAATAACCCTGTACTAACGGGTTTTCACGTCATAAAATTTCTGAGAAAAATGATTCACAAATCACTCGGCGTGGTAAGTGAAATTTCTCAGGGCTGAAGGTGTGCTCACAGCCTACATGATAAAATGGCGGGGCTCAAAACAGTCGTGGACACGGAAAACCCTTATATCATTGCTATCTCGGAAACGTGGTTAACGTCGGAAATGTATGGCAACGAAACTCAATAGCTTGTTTCTTACCTAGTAAGGCTGATATACTAAACCGTGAGAATGGTGGGGTTAGCCCATACACAGAAACTACCTTAACCATATGCGCTGACGAGACAGTGGCACACAACTCAGAAGCATGTGAACTGGTGCTCTGTAGACTGAAATGTAGGCGGCAGCATATTGAATTGGTTGTAGTATGCTTAATTCTAGAATGTGTATTGGATGACTTCCTCCTAAGAAAACTGAAGTGTAATGGGGGTCGACACTTTACAGTAGGCGACTTTAATGCACCGTACACAAGTTGAGGAAACGTGAAAGTATGGTCATCAACAACATCATTTGATTGCAAATTGTTAGAAACCACAATCGCCCTAGCTTTAATCCAGCACATTGTAGATCCCGTTATATATAACCCACAAAACCCTTTATCTCTCTTGTACCTAATCACAACACATAGGCATCATGCCAGTCAAATAACTCTCCATCCAGCTTTGAGGAGAAGTTATTATGTGGCCATCTTATTCAAGTTGATAGCTGAGATAGCCCGTCAAATTGTTGCAACCGGTGTAAGATCCAAACCTAATTCCTATCGGTCTGGATGTGGTCGAATAACTAGAGTAAAAGTCTAGTACTCGTTTCAATCGAAATCAGAACAAGGTGTTTTTGAGTAATAACGGTTTTAGATTTCATCATATATACAAATGTACAAATTTACCTAAACAAATATTACCACCCAGTTATTCAACCGACAATTGATACCAAAATATTCAATCTAAATTACAATGAATAGAAAAGTAGTAAGAAATATATGTAAATTACCAAAAACACCAAAAGGTGAGTGTTATTCTATCCTTTCTGGATAGATCAAGTAAGATTCCGTTTAAGCGGCTGATTTATAACACAGTGTTTCAATTTCTGGGAAAGTGCTCCAAATTACAACCAAAAATGCACGATACCAGTCAAAATCAAACCGCACAATCAAGGAGCGAGCAGTCAATATGGCAGTCGCCAGAATAATAGCAATTAAAACAAACTAGATACAGTTAAGTAAGGAACATAGAGACTCAATAAGAAACGATAGTAAAACGAAGAAAATTAGACGTTACAGACTTAATTAGCATCAAAAAAGTTAACAATATATACAAATAAAGAAAACGTAAGGAGGGATTTTCACTTTCAAAATGGATCCAACAACCGGCACCCCAACATATGGAAGGCAGACCTGAAGGCGATCATCTCTGCAGCTTGGGGTAAAATCTGGCTAATGGATTCAAGAGCATCGGTAGAAAAGGCATGGAGTCATTTCAGGCAGTTATTTAATCATGTAATTTGTGCTGGTTGGTATTCGACATTATCCGTAAACTTCGTATATTGTTCGTCCTGATGGCCGTTACTAGACAACCCCTAACGGTGTATGAATTAGAAGGCGAATACGAAGTGTTGGTTACGCTTATTATTGAACCTCGCACAGATATCCAAAACTACAGACACATTAAGCAAGCATTAAAGATTATTGCCGAAAAGCAAGCGGATGAGCGTGCTAGTCGAATGAGTGAGCGAGTGATCGAGTCAATGAACAGGATTAAAGTGTACACATATGTATATACATATGTAAGAGAATGAATCATCGAATCGATTCAGTGACTAATATCAAGGCTATCAGAATGAATAAATGTGTAGGCAGAAAGCAATGCTCAAGCATACATATTCATACAAGTACAACAATAACAGAGGTACAATAGTATAGATAGGTTGTTATTGTACGAATGACTGTCCGTTAAATACGTTAACAAAAGGGCCTAACCAAATTAGATATGAACAAACTCAGTTGTACGTGGGCTGCTATAATCTTGACCATCTGAACCCTGGACACTCTCAAAGAAGAGGCACGGCCATTCCTAGTTAGTGTGGAATATCAGATACTTACCAAGACAAAATGAGAAATGTTGGAACATTGCCATAAACCTTGGCACAGAACGTACGACCGAACACTACAGGTCGGTAAGAAATGAGCGTGTAATTGCAATTCAGGAAGTTCAGAGAAAATCTGAAAGGTAATTATCTCAATCTGCAATCAGTCTAAGAGACTATTCCCGTACATAAAATACAGAATAGGGATGCAGGATTGGATCCCAAACCTAATTACAAAGGGGCGTGGATCTCAAATGATAGAGTATGATTAGGAAAAAACTGAGACTATGGCAAAATACCTCGGGACAGTTTTCACTCAGGAGCCTCTTCTAGAGGAAGAACCAGACTCAAATACAAAGTTAAAAAATCGTCTCACTGTGGACTTAGACTGAAACGATGCACTTAAGGTCCCTAACACCTAAGATGCGGAAACGTGAGGTGGAGTGGTCGCCATTGTTGAGGTTTATTTAACTTTTGTATATGATACTTATCCATTGAGTACCACTCGTATAAATTTTTCTGGACAGTCTATCGCGTTACTATACGTCAATGATCGCTCGTAAACAATCTTTCTGATGTGTTCAGCTTGGTGTATCACTGTATTTTCTCCGATTCAAATCTGTATATGTTACCGGAAATCCAGGATTTTACAAGGGTATCAGAAAACATAGTTTTGTGATGTGACATCCATTGAATTCAAGGCATATGTGCTGAGTGTAAAGAGTAGAAAAGGTGGTGAGATTAAAAAAGGTTCTGAAAACATAGATACCCAGTTATTTTCACTTGGATGTATGTATTGGGGTCGAAACACAGGTAGGTACGGTCGAGATGAAAATTCTCTAGTGCGTATTGTGATGACCTACTTTTATGGGGAGAACGCGATTGGTTTAATGGAAACAGTTATTATTATGGCCATTGATTGTCTTACTACACCTGCTTGTTTGAGTGTACATAACACATACATTCTTCCGTTGCCTGTGACCTTGCACGAACTCGCATACACTCGGTGGTTCCACTTGTAAGCTTTGGCACGATCTCGGTATTCTTTAGATACCATGAGATCGCTAACAAATGTATCTTATTACGACCGTCAACTGCCGTTTTGTTTTCGGCCTACGGATGGATCCACGTCGATACCTGACACGTAATCTTCCTGTACTGGTGATCATAATCAATCGCGACTCGACACCAAATACAGTATGTTGAAAGTTCTCCTGTCCTCACTGTCTGAGACAGCAGCTATTCGCGCCATCCTGAACGTCAAATCACTTATCTCGATCTTGTCACTTATGTGTAACATGCTGATGTTGAGTTTAAGATACTCTACTAAGACAACTTATAGTACGTTAACTCGGACTTTTACTTTAAAACTGTATAGCACACATCGGATGTAAAAACAAATAGGCAATAATGGATATAGTTATTAGTTTTCTTGACACTTTACTCTTTATATGCACTTTCTGTTCTAATAACCAGCGTTCCTTATTCCAACCTTAAC